GGGGGGGCCGTGGCAGGGCCGGGGGGCTGTGGGTGGGGAGGGGGGGGCACGGGTAAGGCTGGGGGGGATGGGGACTATCGGTGGGGAGTAAGGGGTGCCAGTAGGATCAAGGGGCTGTGGGCTGGGAGTGAGGAGCATCAGCAGAGCCAGAGGGCTTTGGGTTGGGAGTGAGAGTCACCGGCAAGGCCCAGGGGGCTGTGGGTTTGGGAGTGAGGGGCAGCTGGACCTGCGTTCTGGTTAGCAGGGTGGAGGTGGGGGTAGGGGGTGGACACAGGAGGAGATTTGGTTTTTCCATGATAAACTGAAAATCAAACAGGAAAATTTATAGATATTTAGAATTTATTTTATTATAGTAATTGAGGCTTTCAAATTGCTTTAAAATTGTAAATATATTAATAAAGCTTTGCGTTCAACTCTTAGCTATATATATAGCGGCATTTCATTTTAATCACAGAAAAACATGGATTTTAGGGGGGTGGGAGGTGTTAATCATAGAATTTACATTTTTTTAAACAGAGAAAACCAGGATCCTTGGTTATTATAGAGCTTTAGAATGCACAAATAAACTTATTGGGATAGACTGTTCATTCCAGTTCTCAAATTGCCTATTAAGTTAAATATAAATAATTCATACATATAGGAAAAAGTATAGAATTTGTTCTGAATTACCTTATTTCAAATACCTTAAACATTTACTTATTCTCACTTTTTAATAATAAAGTTATGCCCTTTCATGCTTAGAAAAAATGTTCATTCTAAAATTGCTTTCAGACTATAAAATGTATTTATTAGTAACACCAAAAATTTTTATTTCTGCAGCTGTGACTCTGAAAACAGGTACCTTGGAAATCCACTCAGGGGAACATGTTACTGTGAGTAATTAAACATTTCATTTTACTCTAATTTCACAAGTAATCCGTAAATGTAATACAGTAGATTTGTAATTCCCCCATAAAACAAACCTAGAAAGAGCCAGGACTTGTGATAGGGTGGCCAGAAGTGAACTGTGCCACACTCTGAGAGCATCTACCTGTGCTATTGATGTGCCTGAATAAACTCTGGCACAGTTCTCATTGGAGTTGGAGTACAAGGGCTTCACTAAGCATCAGGATGGGGAAGTGCTAAGGGCACCTACTGTGGGGGGCTTAGATGTCTCTATATTAATGCTAGGAGCATGGGGAACAAACAGGAGGAACAAACTTGCACTCCTGCTTGCAAACAAAGAATTCGACCTGGTTGGGCTAATAGAAACCTGATGGGACCCTACCCACAACTGGGCAGTGGGCATTGAGGGCTACAGGCTGTATAGACAGGATAGAGTGGGGGAAAAAGCAGGGGGTGAGGTGGGCATTGCTCTCTATCCACTCCTGTAAGTTTCTAACCTGTTACATGACCTTGACCTACCACAGGAGGTAAATGGTCCCACTAGGGGAAATGCCTTGCTAGACTTGGTGCTGGCCACAGGGGATGACTTGGTGGGAGATCTCCAGGTACAAGGTAACCTAGGAGATAGTGACCACCTATTGATAGAGTTCACTATCCGGCAAAAGGTGGGGAAGATAACTGGTAGGGCTGAAGTGCTAGACTTCAGGAAGGCCAACCCCAACAAGCTCAGGAGATTAGTTGGGGAGGGACTGACAGGCAAAAGCACTGGAGAATTGGGAGTCCAGGAAAGGTGAGCATTTCTCAAGGGACTAATCCTGCAGGCACAGAAAGGGACCATCCCACTATACATCAAGGCAGAGCAAAAGAGCAAAGAAACCCTCTTGGTTGAGCAGGTAGCTCCACACTGTAGCACCCTTGTGTCCCAGTCAGCCCCAGTTATTGTCTGCATGTGCGCTGTAGCACACTAACTCTGCCATAGGATAGTACTTGTCAGGCAGTACTACCCTATGGCAGAGTTAATTAGTTTACTGTGGCCTAATAGCGCCACACATGCAAATAATGACACTTTATTCCAGAGCTAATTAGTCAACACCACAGTAAAGGGCACGTGTAGATGAGACCACTGAAAAAGTATGTCACGTATGTTGAAATCTCATGTTGACTAGCTAGCTGTAACACAAGTGTCTGTCCTAGATAAGTATTACCCTTTGCAGGACTGATCTGGATTGAAGCCTCCAGGTGCTACCACAATATACTGTAAATGTTTATCAGTGATGGCGAAGGAAGACCAGGCTTCGTGTCACGGGCTATTCTACATACTCTCACAGAGGCTGGTTGGGCCATGAGGGTGCTTCAATGCGGGGTTAGGCGGCAAGCAGCCCCCACATTGAGGCATCTCGTTCCCCAGCCAGCCCCATTAGCATCTACACATTCATTGTGGCAGAGTAAATAACTCCACCGTAGGATAGTACTTGTCTGTCAGTGCTATCCTGCAGCGGAGTTAATTAGTTTGCTCCATCCAAATACAATTGCACACATAGATGGTGTCACTTTTACTGCAGAGTTAATTGGGGAACTCTGCAGTAAACATCTCATACAGACATGCCCTCTGTCATAATCTGGCCCAATTATTAATGATTTACCCCACCTTAATTTAAATTTTAATAGAATTGCCTCTGAATACGTGCCAAGACAAATGGTTTTGCTACTTAGTTTCCTTTAATCTTTGACCATGCTTTTGCAATGTAGATATTGAAGGCCTTTGAAGGTCTTGCTTCATAATGACTTTATGGCATACAACATCTAATAAATAAATGTTATGTATTTGTTTTATTAATTTCACTTTACACCTTGAAGAGAGCATAAAATTGCAAGGCAAATAATATTTGTCTTCCACTAGGTTGAGACACAAGTTCGCTTCTTGGAAATTATTAAAGTGAATCATACTTTCAACAGAAACGCCCAAGCTCAAGTGTAAAATCTCTCAGCTGAGGTTAATTCTTAAATACCAGGTTTCCAGAGTACTCATAGTAGCATTTACATTTTTCATATAATAGACCTAATTGAAAACATGCTGTAAAACTCAGTCCTACATTTATTCTTAATCAAACATAAAAAATTGCATACAAGTATTATATACCCAGCAAAAATTGTTCTTATTTCAAAAATAGAAATTCCAGTATTTAGAGAGCTGGACTTCTGTATCCACTCATTTGATTTAATTATATGAAGAACACCTGAGAAGTTGCACCATTTTAAAAAATACTATCAGTGTATCAATCTATACTGTGCATATGTTTTGGGTGGTGGGTGTAAACATTTGTTTTGTCTTTTAAAACTAAATGCTATTACATTTAAGAGAGAGGAAATAAATGACAGTAATAAGATTTGCAGACTTCAGAAACCTCCAAGAGAGACCTTGTTCTTTCACTATGCTGTAGATCTATAAATCTTATCTGAGACAAACTCTGCTATATCCAAGATAGCCTTTCACCTCTAACTCACTAGTTTTATTTGTCTTTTGTCAGGTTTTAAAATATTTTAAAGATATTGTAGCTTTGCATTGATGGGTCTTTGAATACTTTGAATAATTTAAATGCATGAAAATATTTTCAAAGTTATCCAGTCTGATAGTAATGAGGGGCCTGTAAGGTCTTAAATTAACTAGATGCTTTGTTCTTACAGCTAATGGCTGCATTATGCTAGGGGAAAAAAATAAATGTGTTCCTATTAATTTGTGTATAACTAACTGCTGTATGATTCCCATGACGACTGTGTATTAGAAAAGTAGATAATTTTATGAGTTACATTTTTGGGGGAAAAAAAACCTATACATTTTAACATGAAGAAATTCTGAGAGATCTTATCTAAATAAATTGGCTTAATGTTTTAAATAGCACTTTCACTTGGATGGTCATTTGGAATAATATGAGGTTTTATTTATTTTAGCAGATATATATTTGGTTGGTACTTTTATATGTTCCATTTGTTGTTTTCTGAGGTTCTCAGAGCAGCATAAAATTTTTCTCTTTAAGGGCCACGTTCTTCTTTGGCTCATTTCTGCAGCAATGAGGCATTCCTGCTGCTTACATCACAAGACTAAGTAGTGTTCAGCAGTGAAATAAATACCTTATTAATTCACATACCACACTCACTTTCTTCCCGAAAATTAGCAATTGAAATTTTGTGCGTATATCTTAAATAAAGAGACTGATTCTGAATGGTTTAGTTAAAAGGGAAAATCTTTTTTTCCCCTTCATTCAAAAAGAAGGTCCATGTCTTATTTGAGGGTATGTGATACACGAATAAATACGGTGTTGTTCAAAGATAGCTAACTATGAGCTATAAGCAGCATGGGCTTGTAAAGAATCACAGGCGACTGGTGGGGGGGGTGCATGGGGGCATGTGCCCCCCCCCCCGAGATAGGCCCCCAAAAGTGTTGGGGGGGGGGCTGTTGATGCATCCCAACTTGGGACTGCTCAGGACGGGGCCAGGTCCAGAGCAGACAATCGGGCCAGCGGAGATAAGGCCAGGGACTACGCTCTGCTTCCCTACCCAGCCCCGCCCTCTCTGACAGCGCTCTGGAGCATCAGAGAGCACTCCGGCCAACCAGAGCACTGCCCTGCCTTCCTCCCCCGTGCAGGAGTGGATATGGGCTTTTGGCCCACCCCTGGGCCTGCCCACATATTGTGCCCCACCAGACTCAGGTGGCACCAGTTGCCCATGTAAAGAATAAAACTGCTAAGCAAACTAGATTGATTAAAAAAAATAAATAAATAAAATTACAAAATTAAGGGATGAAAGGGACTCCACTAGTACCCTATACATGGAGATGTTAGTAAATCATTAGGTTCATCCCTCTTCAGAGCAACACCTACACACATGCTTAACTTTATCTTTAATCATGTATGTAAGTGCTGCCCTTAACAGGGAATTTTCTTTGTTTTGTTTTTCAATGAAGTGGCAAGACTCACTCTTGCAGGTTATTGAGTACTGTGCATCAAGTGCTGAGTATCAATTCCTTTTTTGTAGGTTTGGAACCTAGGAAAGTGACTTGTAAAGGCTAGGAGGAATTGTACCGGATATACAGGGCTGCCAAATGTCAAGTATGTAGCACCCTTGTCACTTGTTACCCTATCCTAGCTGAAACGTCACACATCCAGCCAGGAAATGGTGGGCATGGACATTGTGCCTCTTGCCTGCTAGAGGCCACTGGCACACCTGCATATACCAGTATCTAAATGTTTCTTTTCCTTGTTCTTCTGCTGGATTAAGGCTACAAATAAGCAACTAAGAGATGATGGTAGTATCAGCTGGAGGGAAAGGTGATGGGCCTCAGTTAAAGTTCCCATACTGGCCATTGGTTTATTTTCCTGACCCTGCAGACAGTGACAGGAGTTTCCCACCTACATGAAGTGAAGAAGTCTAAAAATGTGATAAAAGTTACAGAAACTAGGAAGAATGAGATTCATATAGCAAATATGCTAGTAACTTGGAGGGTGAAACTTAGAAAGGAGGGATGGGGAGCAAGACATCAGGGTAATGGAAAAGAGCAAACTGGGCATTGGATATTATTGTAACATGGCATTTAAAAAGTGGAACGCTGATTTGGTATGTATCTGTGGAAGTACGGCATCAGTGGACCAGGGGTAGTAGTCCCTGTGGGGCAGGTATGTGAGGCAAATGGGCCTGGCTATTGGCTTGCTGAGTGCCTCTCTTTCCAATAAATATAGCTCATTAGCAACAGAGATTTAGCAAATTAATGAGCACTCTCTTAAATTGTAAGTGGCGGGATGGCTTGTAGGAAAATATTAAAGACACACACACACACACACACACACACACACACACACGTTGGCTAAACAAATTAGATTGGGAAAACCAGGGAAATCAACAGATATGTGAATGATCTGGGTTAAATGAAGAAGACAAGTTATTCAGCAAGATATTGGTAAACCAGAGGTAATGAATGTGATGAAATTTAAAA